CAAAAAAAAAAAAAAAAAAAAAAAAATCCTTCCGACAAAGCTCTCACCTCATTCGACATCAGAGAATCCACAGTGGCGAGCGACCTTACGTGTGTAGTAGATGTGGGAAAACTTACAACCAGAGAATATCTCTTATTAGTCATGAGAAAGTTCACAGACTCCACAGTGGAGAGCAAACCCATCGGCGTGACGGGTGTGGGGAGCTCTTTGGTGCACAGGCAGCGTTCATGCAGCACCAGAATGTTAATAGTGGAGAGTGACTCACTCTGTCTGATACATTCTTCACAGTTTTACAGCAGGAGAGTTCTACTGATAAGAAAGCTCACTTTATGACTTTCCTTTTGGAAATTCAGCTCTTAAGGAATTAAACTATCTCCCAATGTGCTGCTCACTGAAGGCAGGCTGCTGAATTATGTGGTAAATGTTCCAAGGTAACATGCCTTCCCTCAGACCCAGAGGATGGCTCTCTGCTTGAGTGTTTTAAATGAATGCAACTTAAATATACTTTCCAAATCATGTTTTTATAGCACCAGACCTTAGTGTACAGTTAGGTGTTTCATTTGGCCCCTGTCTTTCTTTTCTTTCCTCTTCATCATCTATTTCAGCTTCAGGAAAAGTAACTGGGATCCTTGGACTTTCGAATGTGATGGAACTGGGTTGGGGTTTTCTTATTTGTTTGTTTGTAGGGCCTTTTCAAAATGTTTTTGTTCTATTTTGAGGGATATGATACCTTTAACTTCAAAGGGGTTGTCCCTTTTCAGCATCCGGTAATCCACAGAGGTGAGAAGTCATATGAGTATAAGTAGAGTTTGTTAAGAAATGAGGTGAGGCTTGTGTGTAGATTCAAACTGTTGAGATGGTGCTAGGAAGTCAGGTGACTCATGTAAACTGGGGTTTCCTACAGGGTAATTTGAATACAAAAAACCCCGTGAATTGGAGGGGTGGAATAGGCATAAAGTAGACACAGGCTGGCGTGGGACCTGGGACACAGCTTACAGATTCTGTTGGTATATTCTAGATCCACTTCTGAGGGAGAGGAGGTGAGTGGTTGGAGCTGTTCCCTTTCACTGGGCGGCCTCGTACCGAGCAGACTCTGGTGAGGAGGGCAGGTCCTCCTGCTGCCAGAGGACAGGACTCCAGGTGAGACAGGGACATGGCATTAAGCACCTTTTCATGGGTAGGTTATTGTGCAGGCTGTCAGCCTTGGACCCCTGTCTGCATGCTGTAAACATGCTCTTGTCCCTCCCAGGAGCTGTATTAGTCAGTGGTGTCTCAGTGCCCGTGGTCCTCCCACCTGATGCTTGAGGTGATGCTAAACATCCTGGGAGCTGATTTCCTGAGCACAGTCTTCAGAGTGGCTGCCCCTGGTTCATCACGTGTGGTTCACTCCAGTGTCCTCAGAACCACATTCTCCAGAAGTTTCTATGGCACTTCCTTCTGTTTTTGTGGAGGAAAGATTAGCATCAAAATGGGCTGAAAAAGGGTTATAAATATGAGAGATTCAGCAGAAGGAGTCTGTGAGAGACAGTTCTAGAAACAAATCTGGCAATTGAAAGTGGCTGTTGAGAGTCTGATGAGAAGCTGGTACCGTGTGTGAACCCTTGAGAAGGGGCTAACAGGATCTGGCACGAGCTGTAGTGGGATGGCACTTTATGAATAAGGCAGGGTAAGAATGGAGTGAAAGAGGAGCAGTGAATTGCTTAATAGCTGGACATTCTATTCCTTTATAGTATCCTTTTCAATAATAAGTTTATTCCTATTTTCCTGCTTTATTAAAGAAACTTTCTCTTAGAAGTTAACTGACCTTTTTTCCTTATGTTGACTTGACCTATGGCTCAGGCCTTATTTTCCAGGCTCTTGTCTATATAGCAGTAGTATTGGTCTTTACTCGTTTTAGAATTTTGAGGAACTGATTGAAAATTCTGCCTCTTAATGATACTTCTCCTAAGCACACTTCACCACAAATAGCTTTGACATTTTTTAAAACTGGAATTAATACACTGTGATAATAATGGTTATCATGTGCTAAACAAAAATTCTGACTGAGTCAACAAACCTTTACCTTTTTACCTTAGTATGTGCAAGGCACTGTGATGAATGCTTCTCCTGGGTTTTCTCATTTAATCCTCACATCACCTCAGTGAAGTAGGTACTTTTATTAGCCCTGTTTCACAATGAGACTGAGGCACAGAGAGGCTGCTCGGGGGCGGCTCTGGTACCACATGGCTCTGCCGCCCACAGTCGTGGATCCCCCACTGGGCGCCTGCCCCAGGCCCACACCCACTGCACCCCCGGCACCCCAGGCAGGGAGCTTGCAGTCCTGAGGCTGACCCATCTAATTCTGGCCCATTGGAGTTGTATGTTTCACCTAATGTGGTTTGGTGGATAGGTCTTGTAGATGTGTCATCAATGAAGGAAAATGGGAAGATGGTCCAAAGCTGGGAGCCTCTGGCTTGTGACTTTACTAATCATTGCCCGATCGTCGTGTTCCAAAAAGAGAGGGCATGTCTGTCTTTTCCTGAGGTGACTGGACGCCTTCATCTCCTGAGCTGTCAGAAGCTCCTCCCGTGGCTCTCCTGGCTTCAGTCTGAGATGGGGCCTTGGAGCTTTTTATCCAGTTACACCTTCTGCTGTAGAGAAAGGACTTCTGGGAGGAAGGAAAAGAAATCCCTGTTCTTGCTCCAAGGATCTCCTTGGCGTCCTTGCAAGAGACACAAGGACTCGGAGGCTGTGGCAGTGTCTTCCTCGCGGCCATACAATTAGAATGCCAAATCGGGAGGAAGTATGTGGGGTTTTTTTCTTTATACATTCATCTTTACATACGGTGGACAGTTAACTTAATTGAGAACCTCAGCTTTTATTCTAATTCTCTGTTTTAGGTTGTGTGGCTAAAACGTCTTTATGAGTAATTCCTGCAGTGAGTTTGGATTATGTTTTAGTTTTCAGTTAAATGTTTTACCCAAATTGTACTGAATTTTATTTACATAGCTAATGTTGTCCATTTCAGCCATAAATATCCCTGTTAGCCAGTCTCACCTAGCTGGGCGATGGCATTAGTATTGGTTGGAGCCAGACTGTCTCCTGACGGTTCGAAGCCTCTCTGTGCTGCATGGTGAGGAGCACAGGGCGCCCATCCACCTGGTGCCGCCTGGCGTCTAAACCCAGCCAATTACCTGCGGTTGAGAAGGGCATTTCGGTTTCCCCAGTTGATGCAAAGAAGCTGTTTCTAAAGGAGTTTTGTGACAGTGCCAGCAGATGTACAACTTTCCAAAATACCCCCTGTGGCCCGGGCTTTCATCACCTGAAAGGTACTAGAAACAGGGAGATGGACAGCGGCCAGGACAGTTTTGACATGCAGGAGGTTGAGCTCTGGTCAGCAGACATCGTACCATCTGTCTAGCACTCATCCCAAAGACGCCCCTATTCCTGCTGCTCTACTTGGTCGGGCTCAATACCCTCACACAGGGAAGAATAAGGATATTTTCAGGTCCCCCTGGAGCCGCTGTTCTGGTGAGGTGACAGGTGTTCTCTCTCACCTACCTGCTGCACAGCAGGTGGGTGAAGTCTCCTGCCTTAGATCTCCATGTATTGGTAGTTCTTGCCACAGGCTGTGTGGGATTATGACTGAAAGGAGCTCAGGGCAGTTAGTACTTGGAGGAAGACATTGTTTACTACTCATTGAACTAGTAGAGCTGGTTGCAGTTTGGATGGTCTCTGCTCCCCATGAAACACTTTTGTAGCCTAACTGGACTTGGGGGCCAGACATTGGCAGCAGGTGGGGTTGGTGTGGGGGTGTTGAGAAGGGCCCCTAGCTTCAAGCTTGTGCGGCAGGAGCTGCCCAAGGACTCAGCCTTCCTGGCAGACAGCCGTCACCATGAGGGTGTGGGTCATGGGGCCCAGCCAGGACCTGTTCCCTGTGTGTCAGGAGTGTCGTATTTGTAAATCCAGAGTTGTTTTGTTAGTTCTGGTGTCTGCCTATTGCCAGAACATGGGATTATTAGGTAAAATTCCCAGAGGCTTCGGGCGGCCTTTGCTGTCAGGAGAAAGGACGCCCCAGACAGTGAGGGCAGGTGCTGAGGGGTCACAGGAGCCCTTCACTTTTCCTGTGTCTGCCTGTATTACGGTATTTCCACTGATGCCTTGGTGTGGTGGACTCCTGAGGATGACGCATGTCCTTGATCTCCACCACTAGCTCTTGAACCACAACTGAAGATGTGAATCATAAGGGGACCAAGATCTGCTCTTTCTGCTGTAAATGATGGTCTGCCCATAAGTCCCTGTTAATGTGTTGTGTGTTCCCCTGCCAATCCTACTGGTTTATCATGTGTAGTTGACATTTCTTCTTTCCCCACCAATTCTAGGTTTTACTTGAGTTTCATGCGTTTATTCACAAGCGTTGAAAGGTAGCGGGTGAATTCCATTATCGCTTATGTTCATGCAAGAGTGGGTGGCAAGTGACTCAAGCTGCTGCCTTGAGTCTGAGGACCTGAGTTTCCAGGCAGTGGGACTGCACTGGGATTTTTTTCATTTTAACGCTGCATATGTGCAGCATCTTCTGTGTATCTGAAGATGGGACCAGAAGAACACTGCAGGATGGAAGTTGGAGGGGTTAGTTGTGGGCACTAGGGCTCCTAGTTGTAAGTAACAGACACCTACTTAAGATAAACTGAGCAAAGAAGGGAGCACCATCTGTCAGGATCCAGGGGCGTCTTATGGGGCCCCAGGTGAGGAAACAGCTGCAGTCAGGAACTGGAAAGGTTTCTGGATTTCCCACCCCTGGAGTGTATCCTGGTTTCCCTGCAGACCTGCCTCCTCAGTTTAGTAGTGCACTGGGCTGAAAAACTGGCTGCCACCACAGTTACTGGGTTCATATCTGCTTCTTCCAAGAGACCTGCCAGAATAAGGCTGGGAACTTAGTATTTTAATTCATATTCTAAGGAGAGGATGCTGTCCAGTCTCTGGCCTGGTGTCCATTCACGTACCCGTAAACCTGTGGGACTCCAATGAATATGGCCATGGGTGCAGAGTTTGGGGAATGGACTCTGGCCCACCTGGGTTGGATGTCAACACCTGACCAGTTGGCTGTGTCCAGAGGGGCAGGATGGCTGCTGGGGCTACTGTATTTTTTGAGTGGACAAGAGCAGATCCTTGAATAGGGCGTGGGGGCATTAGAAGGCCATGTAGGTAGCGACCTAGGAAGGGATAGCTGGAGGACAGGAGGGCCTTGTGAATGGGAAAGGGGCTGGAAAGGAACCTACTGCTCTTAGCAGAACTTATGAGCCCCCAACCAGCACCAGGCTCTATGGGAGAAACAGGCACCAGAATTGGCCTGGCCCGACCTTAGCAACCTGCTCTGGGGACTCAGATAGTCCTAGCAGCATCGGCTTTGGGCTTGGCCACGTCTCCAGGTGTTGGAGCATCGTGCCAAGTGTGGCCTGGTCTGGACAGAGGGTTAGGGTGAGCGCAGGGGGTGGGGGGAGGGGGGTGGGTCTGGGATGGTGCACAAAGATGCTGACACAAGGGCATCTGGACTGAGGTTCCAAGTCCCTAAAATGTGGGCTTGGGGTAGGGGGTGCGCCTCAGGTGCTCCTGAGTCTGTGAGAGCAGTTGTATTCCAGGCCTGACTCCTGGAGACGTTCCTTCAGCAGTGGGCAGAAGTGCTGGCAGATGCCCTGTCCCTAGCATGGGGGCTGCACCACGTGGTCTAGCATCCACCCCTGTGTCCAGCCTCCAGGATTTCCTGCCTCCGCCACCAGCCTCTGCTACAAAACCTGCTAAAGCTTCTCCACTGCTCGAGGTATTCCCACAACCAACCTGTATGAAAAGATGGGCAAAGCTCGTTAGTAATCACAGGACTGCAAAATGATACCACTATGAGATGCCGTATTACACTCACCAGATTAGCAAAAATTAAAAGTTTGATGACGACAAGTGTTGCAAAAAATGTACAGCAACAGTTGCTCTCACACACTGTTGATAGGAATGAAGTTGGAACAACACACTGGGAAATACTCCGGCACTGTTAACAAAGATGCAAATAGCCCACAACCCAATTCCACTCCTACACATACACACAGCAGAGACTTGCATGAAAACCAGGAGATGTGTCCCAAAATGTTCATAGCAGCCGTGTTTGTAATAGCAATACCTGACAACAGTCTAATGTAGGTGGAGAGAAGACAAAAGGTTTTATTCATACATACAATGGAAAACTTTATCAGAATGAATTACCCTCAGCTACCCACCTCAACATTCTTGAGCTGTCACCTTGCAGTGGTGACATTGGTATTCTTGAGCTGTCACCTTGCAGTGGTGACATTGGTATTCTTGAGCTGTCACCTTGCAGTGGTGACATTGGTATTCTTGAGCTGTCACCTTGCAGTGGTGACATTGGTATTCTTGAGCTGTCACCTTGCAGTGGTGACAAGTGGTATTTCCTAAATACACACCAATTTTGATTGCTTCTAGCAACTGAACCCCAGCGTACCCAGGGGATGAGTGCAGTTTGACCTGAGAGGGAATGCCTCATAGCAAAGGATGGCAAGACTTTGTCAGTTTACTATCAACAGAAACCTGGGTAATGTAAATGGGAATAGATTCTAGGGCTGTTAGACTAGAGGAGAGAATGTACTGAATTTGTTACATGGCAGATGGCTAATTCAGGGAGCTATCTCAGCAGTGACTGGCTGATGGAAGTCTGTATGTGGTGTGGCCTGCATTGATGAGGCTGGTATGTCAGATCTGCCTGAATTCACAGTGCAGGACAGTCAGAGGCTCGGGCGATGGGAATGCTGGAGTGGATGCTGTGGGACCTGCCCACCCGCCCCTGCCTGTGTCCTCCAGGAGAGTCTAGAGACACTTCTTTTACCCAGGCTTTGAGAAATGCGTTGGTGAGGGCGGTGCCAGCATCCGTGAAAGACTACAGTGGCTATTTTCTATAGGCTGGGGATGGTGGGAAAAGGGGCTGTCATGAAAATGGTTTCCATGCTCAGTGCGGGTGGTCAAATAGCAGACAGTAGCATGTAACCCTTTCAAAGATAGGGCAGTCATGTCACTGTAACAGGCCCAGGGCCAGAGTAGTAATAGAATTTGACCACATGTTTTGGCCCTGGATAATGGTGATGGTGACTGAAATAAGTAGGCAGCCTACTAAAGGTTTTATCAATACTAGTGAAAAAAACATTAAATCTGGTGAAAAGACACCTGAACCTCATGAAAGAAGAGGAGGCAAGCTTTCCCTTGGGGAAAGACCCTGATACTCTCCCCAAAATTTATACTATGTTTTATTCTCTCCCCCAAAGGGAATGTGGCCATTTGATGGGGTAACTGTACATTAGAGGACAGGAAATACCCACACTTTTCAAGGATGTGAAAGTAAAAATTAGCTCGGACTCAGAAAGAAAAAATCTGGTAAACTGTTCATCAGGCTAGAATAGCAGACACAGATTAAAAAAACCAGCTTCAGAGTTAATAGGAAACTATTTCTCCCAAAGAAATGTGCAGCTGCAAAATGTAACATTCTACCTCTGCTTTCTTGCTCGTGGAAGCAGTTGTATTCCAGGCCTGACTCCTGGAGACGTTCCTTCAGCAGTGGGCAGAAGTGCTGGCAGATGCCCTGTCCCTAGCATGGGGGCTGCACCACGTGGTCTAGCATCCACCCCTGTGTCCAGCCTCCAGGATTTCCTGCCTCCGCCACCAGCCTCTGCTACAAAACCTGCTAAAGCTTCTCCACTGCTCGAGGTATTCCCACAACCAACCTGTATGAAAAGATGGGCAAAGCTCGTTAGTAATCACAGGACTGCAAAATGATACCACTATGAGATGCCGTATTACACTCACCAGATTAGCAAAAATTAAAAGTTTGATGACGACAAGTGTTGCAAAAAATGTACAGCAACAGTTGCTCTCACACACTGTTGATAGGAATGAAGTTGGAACAACACACTGGGAAATACTCCGGCACTGTTAACAAAGATGCAAATAGCCCACAACCCAATTCCACTCCTACACATACACACAGCAGAGACTTGCATGAAAACCAGGAGATGTGTCCCAAAATGTTCATAGCAGCCGTGTTTGTAATAGCAATACCTGACAACAGTCTAATGTAGGTGGAGAGAAGACAAAAGGTTTTATTCATACATACAATGGAAAACTTTATCAGAATGAATTACCCTCAGCTACCCACCTCAACATTCTTGAGCTGTCACCTTGCAGTGGTGACATTGGTATTCTTGAGCTGTCACCTTGCAGTGGTGACATTGGTATTCTTGAGCTGTCACCTTGCAGTGGTGACAAGTGGTATTTCCTAAATACACACCAATTTTGATTGCTTCTAGCAACTGAACCCCAGCGTACCCAGGGGATGAGTGCAGTTTGACCTGAGAGGGAATGCCTCATAGCAAAGGATGGCAAGACTTTGTCAGTTTACTATCAACAGAAACCTGGGTAATGTAAATGGGAATAGATTCTAGGGCTGTTAGACTAGAGGAGAGAATGTACTGAATTTGTTACATGGCAGATGGCTAATTCAGGGAGCTATCTCAGCAGTGACTGGCTGATGGAAGTCTGTATGTGGTGTGGCCTGCATTGATGAGGCTGGTATGTCAGATCTGCCTGAATTCACAGTGCAGGACAGTCAGAGGCTCGGGCGATGGGAATGCTGGAGTGGATGCTGTGGGACCTGCCCACCCGCCCCTGCCTGTGTCCTCCAGGAGAGTCTAGAGACACTTCTTTTACCCAGGCTTTGAGAAATGCGTTGGTGAGGGCGGTGCCAGCATCCGTGAAAGACTACAGTGGCTATTTTCTATAGGCTGGGAATGATGGTAAGAGGGGCTGTCATGAAAATGGTTTCCATGCTCAGTGCGG